TGTACGCTTCACTTGTGCCTAACTCCTGTTACAAGCATCACAAGATCTGGCCATCAAGGCTTGTCTCCTTCAAAGCACTTCACAAGCCGTTGTGTTTTGGCTTTTAAACTACAGTTCCCGGAGGGGGCTTCACCTCCCCAGGACAGCCTGTGTGGGAACGGAGGAAAGACCCTGCTTCTGGGACAAATCCGCTGCAGAAGCATGCGGGCAGATGGGGACAATTTCCATGTCCTTTTTCCTTGCGCGAGGACATCTGTCCTCGGCTGCTCCATTCTCTGCTACCACCGCACCCGTACGGCAGAGGTAAATAGTTCCTGTTCTGTTCTGCCATTTTGCACCTGAAAATTAGAAAATGAATTAATTTCTCTCTAGACTAGGTCTGTACATTCAACGAATACCTGCCGGTTACTTGCTGCACGGTCAGTGTACTTCATACCTTTAGTTTGCTGCAAGCTTTCTACCTTAGCTAATCTTATGCCACCAAGCGTTGCATACATCCATACTGTCCAAAACAATTACAGGATGTACCTGTTCAGGCTCGAGAGCTTATAACAGCGCTAGGTGGAGGAGAAAAAAAAAAAAAAAAAAACAAAAAAATTAAAGGATTTACCTTTTCAGGCTCGAGAGCTTTAAAAAGGCCTAGGGGGGGGGAAAAAAAAAAAAGCCGAGGGCTTGTCCTAATGTATGGACAAACCATGTGATCATGACCAGGCATCCAGGGCTAACATTTAATCTGCTTTGTTTCAAGTGGGAAATATGTGAAGATCAAATAAGTTCAAATCCAGGTCAAATATCCTTGAAAATCTTTGATTTATATAAGCAGGAAAATGAGTTTTAAAAGAAGTGATTATGAAAGGGTTACTAAAAACACAGCTGTACGCGTACTCTTATATCTGAGGCTCTCCAAAGAAAAACTGTGTGACATCTATATTAACCTTTGGCTGTACACCAATGAAGGCCTGTAGTGAGCTGGAATGCAAGGCAGCCCCTTCCAAATTTTAACACAAGCCAGGTTACAGCTGCAAATGCCTGCAGCCCGTGCTCACTTTATAAAGTATTCCCCGAAGGAAATTTTTTAACTGTTATAGAATCTTTTTCTAATACCCTACAGTGTTAAAGCCTGTTATTAAAGGGCAAAGAGATGGTTCTCTATGCCAAACACTTGTCAACAAAAAGGATAGCCAGATGGTATGAAATAAAAAGAAACTTGGGGGCTCTTCAGCTTCTTGATTTACATTAACAAAAGCCACTTTCATGTGCTCCTTCCAAGAATGACTAATTCCCCCCCCCCCTTATTTTTTGCCAGGATTAAACAATGTTGTTCATTTTATAATCAACCATGAGACAAATTAACAAATTGTGTATCACTTGTGCCGACTCTTTTAAAAAATATTCTAAGCAAGTCTGTTTACCAAGGCAAGGTTACCCACATAAGGACAACTCAATTATTTTTAGAAGAGAGGGTCTAAGTAATCTAGAGGATGTTTACTCCTTAGCTGCTGTTTATAAACTTGAAATTAAACTTGTGCAAAAAATGCTTTGCGTTTTTTCAGTTCCTAAAATGGATCAGTTTGTAAACTGTAATTGGACAGGATCTGAAATGAAATTCCAAATACCGAAACTATAGTGGTAAATTTTATAAAATTAGCCAGTAATTAACTGGCTAACTTAGACCACTGTGGCTAAATTCTCTTTTAATTTACATGTAACTTCATTCTTGACACAAATCCATTCCCCATCCATCTTAGCACAGGTGTAAGCTAAGACAAAATGTAGCCTGTGAATTAAGTGGTTATAAATCTAAATCTAATTAATTGTCAAGATTTTACAGTAACATTACATGCTTAGTACAAAGCTCTCTGCAACATAACCCGAAATGGAGCACCTGTATTCTGGTTCCTCCCTACCAATACCCAGTATAAATTCTCTGGAATAAATATACACAGTATCACCATAGAAATCATTGTGCGGGGGTTTTGTTGTTGGGTTTTTTACTATGTAGCCCAGTAAATCTTGCAATGTAAATCTTTTTCTTTTTTTTTTTTTTTAATATTTTTTCCTCTAAAGTTGTATGACTAGATAGATGAAGAATAAAGCAAAAAAGTGTATTTGTAGATTAGTATTTGGAAGCCCGGAATAGCATGTTTTATTTATTGACATTTAAAAGTATTATTTCTGTACTCACTTTTACTTCCTCCATTCTAAGATGAGACTTTATTATGCTGTGACACTTCCTCATTGTGATGGCTCTAGTATAGTAATAAAAGCCTACCTGTGAAATGCAATGCTCACAGAGTATCTCTTACAAAACTAGGACACAGTTTACTACAGTCTGCATTTAGCAATTCAGCTCTGCTTTAAAAGGGATCATTGTCAAAAGTCTCCAAAAAAATATCAGTTCTACAATAGATCTTCTAATTTTCCCTGAATGTCATAGAAAACTGTACGTATCAAAGCAGGTGGTGTATTTGACTATATACGGGAGTGAGTGGCTGGTCTAATTCATTAAAATGTCCATAAACAAGCCTGTCTTTGTCCTATAAAGATGAAAGACCGATGACTATAATGGGATGAAAGGTGTGCACAGTGATGAAGAAAGCTGTTATAGATCTATGTCCTTTTTAAACTCGTCCTGGCATGCACTGTTGACAAGGGAACAAAACAGTACAGATAAACCTCCAAAATGTGCCTTGCTGGTAATAATTCCACCTGTCCTTCTTAAACTATTGGATTTTGCCTGCACTCTTACTACTCACTGACCATGCTGACAGCAATTAAATAAAATGATAATTAAGTATTTTGCATAAAGAACACTTTTGGATTTCTAAGCAGACTACAAGATCCAGCAGGTTGAAATGAATGAATATATCCACTGTAGTCATCACATCACATTGGGACATCAATTATTGATTACGTACAGTTTATACAGGTATAACCTGCTCTATAAAAGGTTCTCACGTAGAAACAGACCTATCCAAAACATAACATTTATTTCACAGTTTATGGATTGATTACACTCCTTTTTATTCAAAAGAATCGGGGATCTGAACATTAATTCCTTTCATGTAAAACTGTCACAGGCTGCAAAGATGACTCTTCCTTGCATAGGAGGCATAGGACGGGAGCGCTGCAGTTTCACTGATGAAAGTTATGCAGTAAATAACTACACCCAAGGAGCAGAGCTGCTTCCCCAGAGCTAAACTCCCTTTCGTTAGGTACTTACATGTTTCATAAAGGTTCCCTCCTCTCTACCGAAATGGAAACAGAAGTGTGAATTTCTCTATCGTTATTTCAACATCCTTTGTCTTCTGTTCAGGACTCTCCCTGCGCTCTGGCTGTACATGGTGTAGGACCCAAGAACCACAGAGAATAATGTTAGCAAGATCACTCTTATCTCTGAAGTCAAATATTTGACCGCCATTGGTACTTTTGGCTGCTCAAATATTTGATTTTAAATGTATCATTGCTGATCAGCTTAAGTATCTAGCAGCGATTAGACAAACACTGTAATTCCAAATGGAAAGCACCAGCACTCTCAGAGAGCGCAGCCCCCAGGCCAGATGCAATTCAAGGCTTCCCACTGTGAAGCTTATGGTAGTCAATAAGGAGGTGCTGCGGCTCATGCAAACTAGAGATCTCCCACAGCATCCTGTGCCTCCCTATCATGCAAGAATTGTGCCGGGATGGCTACTATGTCTAATAATTATTAACGTGTGTCACAGAGCCTTTATAGATACTGATCTTTTTCAGTTAGTTAAAGCGCTGGGATTAGAGAGGTGGTGATTTAGGTGGTGATTTAATCTTTGTTGCCTCTGAAGTTCCAGACAGTGGAAGTGTCCAGAACAGTGACATCCATAAAGGTGTTAATGGATTTACTGGCGATGGGGGTGTCTGTAATCCCTAGCAGGTTACATGCCAGCAGTGGGCTCCTCTTGCTCTTTGCCTGTCCTTTTGTTTGGGACAAAGTTTGAGTTGATCTTGTTTTGGAAATACTATTCAGATTCTGTCTTGAACTTGCAGGCACCCAATCTGTACGTGTGGTGGTTTCAGAGCTGCACATGATGAGGTCTAAAAATGGATAGAGTGAACCAGGTCTATAATTATATATTTAAAATAGAATGCTCATCCCGACAATGTTTTTCTCAAATCCGGCCAAGTCAGTCCACACGGGTGTGCAATCTACAGCAAGCAAATAGAAATCAGATTGGGCCGTGGCATCCAATTAGAGAGGCCTAGTGAGCCGCATACAAAGCATGCCAACTTTCGTATCATTTGCATAAACCCATCCACATGTGCTTGTGAAAAGAGGCGAGTTAGCTGCATAAACTGGGGTCAACAGAAAAAGCTGTAGGAGTAAATAAGGATTTACTGTGGAATCCCTCTCAAGCCATTAAGAAAACATGTGCGAGCAGCTCAGCCCCTGCGGCTGAGGGAACGCGGCGCTGGGATGCCACAGGGAACTATCCGTCTAGGCAGCCCTGGTGGCTCTGCATCCCGCACAAGCGCCAGCCTGGTGCTGGGAGCCGTGCCGGGACCCGTGGTCCTGCCCAGGTTTCGTGTCTTCCTTGGCGGTGCGGGATGCGGAACAGACCTACTAATCGTCCTGTTCAACTCCTACCTGCAAATCCAATTTCTGAGGTGCGACAAGTAACTATCAAAGGGAGAAGACGACAAAGAACTTAGTGTGTTGGCGTGCGGGGTGGAGCGCGGCGAGAGCCTGTGGCTGTCCAAATGCTGTGATGGAAAGTCAGAGCCCTCTTCATGTTGCTGCCATTTAATTACCGCCTCGCAAAGCAGCCGCTTTTTCAAGGGCCGCTACCTGCCCTTCCTTGCCCGAGTGGGCTGCCACCCATCCGACCCGCTGTGGGAACAGCTTCCTACCAGGGCCACCTGTCCTCCCGCTGGCGGCCAGGGTCCTGCTCCAGCCTCCCCCCAGCACGGTTCCCCTGCCCCATCATCCCGGACCCAGCCGCGGGGCCTCGCCGAGGGCAGGCACTCACCCAAGTTGACGAAGCTCATGACCATGTCAGCCTCGGTGAGGAAGTTGCTGTCCTGCAGGCTGGCCAGGGGCGGCCCCTGGGTGCTGAAGATGGGCTTGTAGGGGTAGGAGAAGCCCTCGCCCTCCTCAGCGGCGGCCCCCGCCGCCCCCTCCTCCACGGACATGGCATTGTAGAGGTCCAGCATGAACATGGGGGCCGAGTTGTGCTTGCCGTGGAGGTGGGGCCGCGGGCGGTGCGGCAG